AGCTGCTCCCGCACCCACCGTATTCGCCAGATTTGGCCCCCAGCGACTATTTCCTATTCGCTGAGCTCAAAAAAATGCTCGCTGGGAAGAAATTTCGATCGGATGAGGAGGTCATCGCCGAAACTGATGCGTATTTTGAGGGTCAGCCAAAATCGTTCTACAAAACCGGCATCGAACGTTTGGAAAGGCGTTGGACTGATTGTATTGCCTTAAAAGGAAACTATATTGATGAATAAATTCGAATTTTTATGTAACACTTGTGTTTTCTTTGCTAGACCGGGGACTTATTGACCGATGTGTTATCTTACAACTAACACAATATATGGTGCTAATATCAGTATACTTTCCTTACAATTAATGTACTTAAACAAGGTACGAAGCGACATGTTAACAACTTATGCTAAGTGAAGAGCAGCCAAGTCACGCTTGAGACCCGTAATGACATCCCTAATAAGGACAGAACAAATAATATGTTTGCGACAGTCCGGGTTAACTTCAATTTGTGCTAATAATTTCAGGATTAAATCATATTTCTCTGAAACTGAGTAGTTTTGGAGATTATCATAAATCCAAGAAAATGGATTCCCATTTTCATGATAACCTAAGTTTTGGAGAATCGTAAACCCAGTTGGATTTTGCATTATCGAAAATACTCTTGTTGTTGCAGGACTTTGTGACAATGAACGAAGTATGTGTCCTTAAATACTTGACGCATCATACATATACTTACATCACATCATCAAATTTGCACTATTATTCTTATCTAGATCTCCATAAGCTAATCTCTGTTCCTCTGTAAAATATAACATAAATTAGTAGTTTCTGACAGTAATATTTTTCAAAAGAGAATTTTTTTATTTACTTCAGTTGGTAGTGCATGTAGAAATAATCATGAGACAAAATTTTAAAAATTTTATCCTGTTCAGAAATAGACATATCATCCTGTTATTTAGATTTATGTATAATACATTAAGATATGTGATTATATATTTATGATTCTTACCATTTATTTAACAGGATGAAGAATTTATCTTGACTTCATAAGTCTGCAAAACAAATATTAGCATAATTAATTTATATGTTTAACCTATTTTGATAAATAAAAATTAAAATAAATTCCTTCAGTTGGTAGTGCATGTACAAATATAATCATGATTTCATACTCAATTAAACTCATCATGTTAGTAATACCAAGGATTTCTAAATACAAAAAATATTTGAAAGATATCAGGAGATTCATTGTGAATCTCAAAATAAGATGAAATTAGAAAAGCAAAGTGAGCAAATTCACTATTAATCAATTAAATTATGAATATTCTAGTAAATTTGTTCACTTTTGTAATTTTCATCTCATTTCAAGATACACAATCGACTTCCAGAATACATAAGTATAAAAAATATATATACTAAAATATACACATGCAGTCAAATGATTTAAACACACGATATATCAAACTGTAAATAGAACTTCTTGAATTCCGACAGGAAAAAAGCTTTATCTCGGATAGAGAAAGAATTAACAAATCTCATTTGAATAATTCGGCCAATTAATCATTGGTTAACTTTTTCTTTGTCCGAGATCTTAGAATAATTTCTAGCAATGTGAATATCATAATTACAGACTCTCTAAAGTAGGTCTTAAGTTTAGTTTAAGTATAATGACTTTTTTATTTTTTAAATAGATGGATGTTAATAATAAGTACAACTCCAGTTTAATAATGAAAATTAAAGTCTACTGCCAAAATATATATTGGATTAAAACAAACGATTGCATGGATACATGTGGATTACAAATTGCGGCGAGCATGATTTGAGAGATCTATATTCAATGTGTAATCAGTATTTTAACTACGATCACAGGTGTTAAAAATTCATTGATTATAAGATTCTTTCATGTGTTAAAAGTTTAATTTTCTTACCTCTTGCAATTTCTCGTTCGACGCATAAACGTCGAATCCACCTTGACTCGGCTTCTTCTTCTTCTGAGTATGTAAATCAGAATAAATAGCGTTCGTCGATGAATTGACAATGATTCCGGCCACAGTCGAGGGGAAAGTATTTGCCTGAAACAGGACAAGACGGAACGCCGCCTGCCGTGAAGCGAGAGGAACTATACTACAGTGCACATATAAAAGCTTAAACACAATAGGCACAGGCAATAGGCATATAGAACAGGGAATAACAAGCTGTCCAATCAGAGCTATATAATATTGAACTTACACACCAGAGCTCTGATTGACTCGTTTTTCACTGTTGCTTGTGCCTATTGCCTATACTTATTGTGTTTAAAGCTTAACAAAGGCTGTGGTTGATTTGACCATAGAACTTATAGTAATGGAAGAGGAAAAACCTTCCAGCAAACAAGAATAGATTAAAATGGATTGAAATTTTTTTCTATCCAAATGTGTGTGTGTGTATTTTAAATAGCGAATACTTTTTTGGATTTAATTGGATTCAATTAGATTCAATTAGATTCAATTAGATTGAAAAACTGTATTTTCTATTCAAAATTTTGAATTGAACAGTATTCACAATGCACAAAAAAAGCTAATATTATTTTTAGATTAAAAGGCATAAAGATATACTCCATGCAATTCCTATAAATAAATAAAAATGCATTCAGGATTGAAAAGCATTTATTTTAACATTTGTGAATCAATATTTCTGAAAATCTGAATCCATTTCAATTCATTTTAATCCATTCTCGTTTGCTGGGCTATCCAACCAATGAGTGGAAAGTATGAGCAAGACTCAAAAACAGAAAATGTATATTTCTGTCCTGCTCAGTAACTTTTCTTTTTTCTGCGCATGTGCAAAAGAATATATAATAGAAGAAGATAGAAAGATATTTCTGTCCTTTAGAGTCCTCTTGCTCACAGCTTGACTTCCGTATTTCCCTTCCATCACTATAAGTTCTATAGTCTCATAGTTCACCCTACTGTCTACATGACAGATTTTCTAATCTCATTAACTACTTTTCCTGCTGAACGGAGCAATTTTGTTATGAATGGTATAATCGGAAAAGAATCAGGAGATACTAAAGAGACTATCGATCGCGTCTAATGGAATTTCGTAAAGTCACTAGATAACAAAGTATCGCGATGAGAAAATTTACTAAATTAGCATTTGGAGCCGAAATGGCGTCGAATAGTTCAGATAGTGCATTTTATGTAACTTCCTATACATTAGTAGCGTTTTTGACCAGAGCGGATGTGTTCCCATTTGGATTGGATAATGTTCTAGTATTGGTTGATGTTACATATTCCACTAATAAGAGAGCCTACAACGTCATTAATCCAATCTAGGTTGGTGCAACTCTGATCGGATCGAATATGCTATAAGTACAATCCTAATCTGATTCTGTTATAACTTTATATACGTTTATGACTTTGTGCATCAACGAGATACTATTAAAGACCCTCGGTGTTTATAGAAATTTGCGTCCCTGTTAAAATTTAAATGATTAAGAGTAAGTTATATAGCACAGAAAGATTGCAGCAATGTTGCAGCAATATTTTTTGTAAGATTACAATGTTACAGCAATATTACAAAATGTTGCTGCAACGCTGCTGCAACATTGCTGCAATGATAAAATATCCGCTTTTAGAAATATTGCGGCTCAATATTACAATATAATATATTTAATAATATTTTGTTATGATGTAAATGGCGGTAATTCGCGGTACTTTGTTATCTAGTGACTTTAGGAATTTCTGTGACCTGAATCTATATTTCGGTCAAATAAATGATATTTAAATATTTAATTAAATGTGTTTTTGGAAAACTCACAAATGTGTTTTTAATGCTTCATAACTCTTTATACGAAATACAAACAATTCCATGTATAAACATTGTTGAATTTAGATCCGGCTGATTATTTCGGTCAAGTACATGGTTCAAAAAAATTCATTAATTATAATTAATAGAATGACTCACAAATCTTTTTAATTGCACTTCAAAATTCTTCATACGAAATACAAATGATGTAAAATAAATTTTACAACCGGAGACCTTTAAGAAGCGTTAAAAATTTCATAATCAAAAATTAAAAAGGAAACAGCACAAAAGTTATAGAATAAATAATATACTAATTCTTGAATCTTTTAATAATTACTACAATAGCAATATAATAGAATATAATAATTTTTTGTGATCGAAAAATTCAGAAAATATATAAAAAGAAAATTGATTAATTGAAAATAAATTAAAAATGATTAAATTATGATGAAATTAATAATAATAATATTATTAATACGTTTTATATTAAAAATATATAAAAACATTAATTGCACTCTTTTGCAGAAGTTGTGCAATAGTAAAGCGGTGTACTGCACGATTCATCAAATTATTTCAAATAAATTACAAACGTTAATGAGGATTCTTCTTGGAAAAGAATATAAGAATAAAAAATATACTTTTTTCTATGGTAGAAATTATGTAAGACGTAGTACAGTCAAAATAACAAACGTTGGAATGTATCTATTAGTGATGGAAGCAACGACGATCTTGGTGTCATCGATAATTTCGAAGTTTTATTCAAGGACTGGTTTTGACATATTGACGTATTTAAATTAATATATCGTCGAACTAAACTATTTAATTGCAAATAAGATAAAAAGCCATTCTGATTACGAAATTGAAGTTTCGTAAACTGAAGCATACAAAACAAAATATATTTTTGTAATAAAAAATTGCTTTATCATATATAAAAAAATAAATTTTTTAAATCTTTTTAACAATAGAAAACTAATTTGTAAATTTTTTTAATACAATTATAGAAAAACGAGACTAATAACGAGAATAATAACGTCAGTTATTTTATTTTAATCAAGCTTATCATTTTTTCAGTTCCAGGAGCCATGTTTTAAACAGATGACGTAATTCGTACTTTGCATAAAAAAGAAGATTTATTTATATTTTATTTTTATGCTATTTGAAAAATAACAAACGGATGCGAAGTTTTAAATTATGAGGCAACACGACGGAACACGCAGGAAACGCGACGGAACTGAAAAAAATCTCAGATTCGCACGCGATTGAAAAAAAATCTTTTGTCCTTCATTACGTTAAATATCGCCGGTTCTTCGTTTAAATTAAGCACAGTTGACTTGTACCAAAATTTGATCTTATTCTTCAAAATCTATGTCTTTTAAAATGCAAGCGTACGCGCAAATAGCATTAATTCTATAATAATCAAGTTTCAAAGGACTATTTTTGTAGTATATAAATTCACATAGAATCATACAAGCATTTAAGATCCAGCTAGACTGTTTAAGACATTAATTTTTATAATTTCTGCTTTCAAACATGCTTAATGCAAGCACACCGCGCCATCCATTAAATTTGCAAATCATATTTGCATGGTTCTCAATCGTTGTTAAATATCAAATATACCTTTAATGAAATGCGCAACCTTTTCCATGAAATGTCTTACTACTGTTTAATCTACAGCTAATCTGATGATCGATAGAAGCCTGACCTTTCGAAGTGGACATTTATCTATGATCACGAAATTTGAGAACTAACGCATACATACCGGTAATAATTATTAGTTAATAGCGCTAAAGTTTGTACGCAATTTATTAAGGTGTAGGAAGATCGACGCAATTCACACTTTTCTTGAAAATGGTTATTCTCTCTCCTTTATTTTTTCCATAATAGAATAAAGATTAAGATTTAATCTAAATTTCCGTACTACATAGAAGAGATATCGATTAAATTTAGGAATATATTTAATGGAGTCTGCCAAAAAGTTTTTTTTTTGTTTGAACAAATTAAATCAATTTATCAAGGTTCACGAAGGTCTTTTGTCTAAGAGAAATGTTGTTTACAAGATCAATTGTCTTGATTGCGATGCTTCCTATGTTGGACAAAATTATTAGGGAGAAAATTACAAATTAGGGCTACGTTCCAAAACTTTCTTTCCGAGGAAAATTTTACTCAAAATATATAGTACACATAACGTATATACTATAGCATATAAAGTAAAATCAATTTTTCACATATGATATTTTAATTATTTATATAATTGTAGGTTAAGTTTTCATCACTCAGCTTACTAACTTGGTAAGTGTTGTGGCTTACCTCGCTACATATATAGCACGATTATATGAATCAAATATCGATTTATCATCTTCAGCTTTGAAAAATGGACGATGTACCCTAAGAAAAGTGGATGTTGTATATAGTTTACATCCATTTTATCAGAGCGCAGTAGTGCGCGGTAGCATTTTGCAATTACAGGTTTTCATGGCTTTCAGGTTTTCTAGGCCGTCATATCCTCTCTCAAGAGTTTCTCTTTGATATCATACTTGTCAATAGCCTAGTTTCCACCAAAAGTTTAATCCGGATCAGAATGTAAGAACCAATCAAACCTACAGTTCAGTATTCTCCTGTTACAGTCGAACAACAAGGGAATGCTTGATTGTACAGGGTGCGACACGGGAACCTATAGTATTTCAAATCGCTACTGCAACTACAAAAAAAAAGTAAGGGGAGGGGGAGCGCGAGCGCGTGATAGTCTGATCTGCCACATTTCGTTTTCCAGTATTCGTTCGTCGCGATGAGTGAGTGGAAGACAGAACACCGTGCATTCGCGGTCGAGATGTTTTTTAAAAGTCAGGAATCCTATATAACTACCATACGCGCATTTCGAAAACGTTTTTCAATTCAGCCGCATAAACCAGTACCAACCGAAGTAACAGTGCGTTCGTGGGTTAAAAATTTTCGCCAGAAAGGTGTCGTGAATAAAATAAAGCCACCAGGTCCCAAAAAAAACGTTCGAACTCCTGAAAACATCGAGCGCGTACGCATCGCTTTGAAAAAAAGCCCGCAAAGATCTCTTCGAAAGCATGCGGCTAGCTTGAATTTAAATGAACGTACGATACGACGCATCCTACACGAAGACCTACACTTCCATCCCTACAAGATGTTAGTGACTCAACAACTGTTGGCCACCGATTACGGCACCAGATTAGAATTTTGTGAACGCATGCTCGAAGAAATCAACGGTGGTGAGTTTCCTTTAGACAAAGTTTTGTTCACGGACGAAGCGCATTTTTATCTTCACGGTGATGTTAATACGCAAAATATGTGCTACTGGAGTGATGAGAATCCGCGTATAATTCAAGAGAAACCGCTACACTCCCCTAAGATAACCGTCTGGATGGGCGTGGCTTCGTACGGTGTTGTTGGTCCGTTTGTTTTTGAAGAAACTGTTAACGGTGAGCGCTACCGGCGGATGATTCAGGAGTCTCTTATACCGGAACTGCGACGAAAACGCAAACTGTCGGTAACATGGTTTCAACAAGATGACGCCATGTGCCACACCGCAGCTGAAACTATGCAGTTGCTACGCAAACATTTTCAAAATCGAATAATCTCTCGCGGGTGTGATTTCATCTGGCCATCTCACTCTCCGGACTTGTCCTGTTGCGATTTCTTTTTATGGGGGTACCTGAAGTCCAAAGTATACGCAAACAAGCCAAGGGACCTGGCACAACTCCGAGCCAACATTGTGGAAGAATCAGCGAAAATTACCACCGTTATGACAAAAAAAGTTATCGAAAATTTCAAAAACAGAATCGAGAATTGTGTAAAAAATAAGGGTGGGCATTTATGCGATGTAATTTTTAAGACAAAGTGATACGCTTATAATCTTTTATGCCGAATACAAATTTGTGAAATAACGAATAAATTCATTAAAAAAAATTTCTGTACGATAATTTGTTGAAGAGTTATAGCGATTTTAAATACTATAGGTTCCCGTGTCGCACCCTGTAGTTGGTTGGTTCTTACATTCTGATCCGGATTAAACCCTCGGTGGAAACTAGGCCAATAATAAATATATATGGATCATATTATTAAATAGCATGCAAGTATCTACCATTTCGTAAAGAACTGATAAAAACGCTCGATGTTATGTATAAATTTTTGTTGCCAAATCAGTTCAATATGATGTGAATCCGGATCAATGATGTTATAACTTCGATCCAATCAATCATATTTAATTATTGAAACAATTAATAAAATTTATTATTATAATTATTATATTATATTATTATATTATTAATTATTATTATATTATACAATTATTTTAATTATTTTTAGTAAGTGATTCTCCTACCTAGATGTATCTATTCCACATTTACAATTCAGATTAGTCCTCTGTTTCCGCGCAAATACGAGTAATGTGGACGCTCATTCTTAAGCGAAGAGCACAAACTTTTATATAACGCATAAAACATGAGGCATAAGAAAATCGACCAATCAGAGTCCTTTATTTCACGTAAAGGAAGGAAATAAAGCTCTTTGATTGGTTCATTTTCTTATGCATTACGTGTTATGCGTTATGCAAGAGTCTGTGCTTCCCGCTTTAATCGAACTGATTGTGAGCGCGTTGTTAATGACCCATAGTACAGACTCTTGCATAACACATAATGCATAGTGCATAAGGAAATCAATTAATCAGAATCTTTCCTTTCCTCTCATTCCGGAAAAGAAGAATTTCGAGTGGTTGATTCCCTTATGCACTATGCGTTATGCGTTATGCGTTATGTAACATGCATTCTACAATAAGCTATTAGTCATAAATCAGAATCAGTTAGAAACTGGAAATTGACCAATCACAGTCGTCAACTTCTAACTTCTGTTTTATGAGTAATGACTTATTGTAGAATGGCCATAAGAGTTTGTGCTGCGGTCATAATGCTGTAAGCGTGAATCGGACCTCGGCCATATAAAGTGTTTCATTCTCAAGAATGCGCAGTCGTCTTCAACATGAATAGCTGTTCTTTGATTAATCAAAATTTTATCCAAAATTTAAGATAAGCATTTGATTGGTTGTTCTAATTTATAACAAATATTTGATTGGTTATCCTAATTTAGGAATTCTTCCGGCCATTATGCGCAATAAAATACTTTATATTTATATCATGATTTACTTTGTATGAGGTCTTTTTTATTGCTGCATTCTGAAATAAGTGAAGTGAAACAAATGTATATTTAGATTTGTTGCGTCGCATGCTCTAACATGCTCTAACATGCTCTAAAGTGCTCCTACTATAGCATTTACTTACTCTAACGTGCTCGTTAAAGTGAGTAGGAGTTATAGCAGCACATTGGAGCATATGATGCGAACAATTCTATTATTTCACTTCAACTCATTGCACTGTGTATACAGTTCAGAAAGTGCAGCAATAAAAATCATAGGGGCATTGTGCTCCGCACAATAAAAGAAAACAGAGAACAGAGGATAAGAATTTCAACCTATCAGAAATCATGTATTGTGGAATACAGTTTTTGATAGATTGAAATTCTTATTCTCTGTTCTCTGTCTCCTGTTCCTTTTATTATGCGGAGCCTCTTATTGTGCAAAGCCCCTACCTATAATTCCATCAGAGTACAGATGAGTAAGATGAGTGCTGATGATGAGTACAGATGACCGAATGCAGCGTCGATTATTCATGGATGGTTGTAATGACAAAATATGGAATTATCTTAAAATGACTCATTGAGTTTACTTTGAGGTGTTGATCAGATGTTAAATATCTTGAGTAAATCTTGAGTCACACTTGAATTTCTAACCTCTATAAAGTCTTCAACAAGTGTGGTTGACGAGAATGAGTGATCATAACCGAGATTGTGACAATAGAAGTGACAACTGACAGGTCGATGCAATACGGACAATTAACGCACATTCTTTCAAAGAGAAAATTTAGCTCACATTCCGGATTCCCTGCAATAAACCTGGTATCCGAATATTCTCGAAACTAAAACAAAGACATTGCATGCCAATGTCACGTGCGAGGTGGGACGGAGAGAGGTTCTTTTCACAAGCAACGTGCTCACATGTAATTTTCCCCGTGAGAACGAGTTCAATTAGATAAGAACCTGTTCGTTTTCTTCTCGACACAGTTCACATCGAGATCACTTGGAGAATATGAGTTTTTGATCTTTTATACTTTTATCTGTTTGAGGGTCCAGATGTGAATGTTGTGATTCTGATTTTAAGCTAATTGTTTGGCATGAATAGTTTCATGTATTATTTACTGTTACTAATGTCCGTCGATTTTGCTAGCATTCTGATTATGTAAAGAAGAAGGCGATAAGTGTATTTTCTTTTAATTCTTACAATACAAGATATAATTTGGTGCCTCATCTGTCCAAACATGGATCACTAGAATCCACCGGTTTTTTTCATCTATTTAGAATCGAATTTAAAAAATCTCTAAAAATTCACCAACATATTTTCAATTTTTTAGAATAAATATTGAAACTTTATTTTGGAAAGTAATAAAATATAGTATAATTTATAATTACCGAAAGACTCAAAAAAACTTGCACAAATAAGAATCGGTGATCCGACTTTGTAAAGCTTGTTCTACAATATGCGTTTTGTTTCCTGTTTCTTGCTTTTTACTACTTATTGTATCTTGCCTTTTTATTTCTTATCTTGTTTTTCGTTTTCTATTGCTCGAGGTAAACGTTAACAAACTTCAGAAGAAACAGAAAACACATATCAAGAAATATAATTGTTGATAAAACGATCATAAAGAGAAAAAAAGCAAAAGATAAAAAGTAAGAAACAGGAAACAAAGAGCACATTCTAGAACAACCATAAGGGTTAATTATTGATTTCTGTTCCTGCACTAGACTTCTAGAACTCTTTCTTGCTTTAAACAAATATCAAACTGTAGTACATACATCTATCTCACTTTAAGTTCCAAAAGTGTACTCTAGTTCAGCCATAAAAAATAGACCTTATATTTCTTGCATGCTTTAACATGAATTAAAATTCTTCAGGGCGAGAACGAATAGATTAATGTAGAAGTGTGATTAATGGCGAATTCAATTGGAAGCACTAGCGGATACTAAACCTGAGTGCACTGGTGCGTACTAAACCTGTTTAATTTGAGTATAAAAATAAAATGTAAATATTTTGAATTATGAAATACATATTTTATCTAATAGTACAATAAAATGTATTGAGTATTTTACGATTTAATTAGTTTTTGTATGTTTATTTATAAACATAATTCTTATAATACGACTTTAATTTTGGAAAATCTTTTTTGTTAGGTCTTTAGCCACAATTTATCATCAACGAACAGAATTGTTCGTGCATGTCATGCACTTCCGGGGAAGATATTTGGTACGTACGACCGATAGAATTTCTACACTAAGGGAATTATAACCTGAGGTGACAACTGTGAAAGTTGAAATAAAGTGAAATTGACTTTTAAATTTGTTCCCTGATTTTCTCATCAAATTTAGTACGGCCGGTGTTTTTTTTGTGCATAGTTTTATTCTGTCTTAAAGGATTTGGTGATCTATAAAACCAATTCGGAGAAATTGGCAATCTACAATTGTTGGTAATTCCTGTTGGTTTAGGATCCTCTTAAAATCTTTTATAGTATGTACTTAGTTCTGTATACACATACAAATTGCATGTTTTTAAATACAATTATTCACATTAATCACATAAGTATATGAAATATTTAAAGCAGTATCTCATAGAGAAATATCAATCAAGAGCTTTTTTCCTCTGAAATTTTATAATTCTACTTTGAAAAAATTAAGGATCTGACTAAGGATGTGCGATCTCTGGATTGATTTGTTAAAAAAGAAGCGATGTTTTGCGAAGAGATAGGTTTAAAATAGTCTCTTTTAGTTAGAAAAATCAATTTCTCGCAAAATAGATCAGTTTAAAATCACTGTTGTCATTTAGAAAGATTGATCTTTTGAAAATTGGAACATTCCTAGATTGGACTGCATATATTCCATAAAATATATATATTGAATCAAATATTAGAAAAATATATAAACTAGCTATTAGATAGTAAGTTTTACTGTCGCATTATGAAATGTAATTCTGCATATGAATAATAAGAATACATGAATGCTATTGAAAGTCTATGTTATATTTGCAATGTAAGATTGTGATTAAATCTATATTTGATCTAAAACAGTCTTTCTACATAGTTTTTGAAATCCATGGACGTCCTAATAAATCATTTTAAATATTCATCTTTAGTATTATATCATATTTATAGTTTTTTGAAAATATTCCGAATGAAGTTTTATTTTGATTTCTTAACACATAGCCCTCCCTAAGTGAAATACAGTAGAATTCCATTTATATGAATATGTAGAGAGACAGGACAGTTCCAATAACCGAATAGTTTGAATAATAGAGGCTCAACAGATCTTCTCTACTAATATTTGTTCTGATAATAGGAGCTGATGTTTGATAAATTAACAAGCATACCGAAATCTTATTACCTGAACTAGGATCAGTTGTACTAGGATTTATATGTTTGAGCACAAATTTATTTTTATAAAAGTTCTTATAAATGGAGTTCTCTATTGTAGTGTTTTATTTTTTCTTTAAGCACAATAATTTGAAAATTGTTTATATAGAAATCTTTGCACCACCCTTTTTCTTTTAGTTACGAATTTTTTTTTTTTATTACAGTGCAAATAGAGAGAATGCCTCAAACGACCACTATCGAAACTCTTACTGTAACCAGACCACTTAAGGTAAGTTTAAAGCGTATTTTCTTTTTACTGCAGGCAAAAATTAATCATAAATTCCTATACTAATCTATATTTCTAAGATTTTGAAGTTAAAATTTATGTAAAATGTATAAGATTTGATTGTTTTTTCTATAAATTATCATCATATTGTATCTTACAGAATAGATAGTATCTCTAGTTGTGATACTTAAATTAAAAGCTTGATTTTAAAGTGTAATTAAAAAGGATCAAATTTTTATGGAAGGATAGTGTAAAGAAGCAATTATAAAATGATGATGCAGTGCAATTATTTATGACAATAGAATGACAGATTTATTTCTACAAAAACTTTTATAACTCCAATTTCAACTCCCACTAGAGTGTCTCAACAAAAAAAATGAGTTGTCCTGTAATTACAGAGAATTTAATGTGTGATGCATGCAGACAACTGCAATTTAATTCTTTTAATTAAATAAATCGTGACTATACCACTGTATTTTATACAATTTTTAAGCTAATTTTATATTAAATGTGCAATAAAAACATAAAATTTTTTTACATACTTTGCAAAAATAGATGTGTATTTCCCAGTAAGAGATACAGTGTAACACAGTGATTACATCATTATTATTTGCCAATGTTAAACAAAGATGAAATAATGTCTTATACTAATAAATTACTTATACTATCATTCAATAAGGTATGAATAATTGCATGCAAGGAATTATAGATAACTTGAAGGACATGATAGGTGCAGATAGATTGGATGGAATGAGAGAAAGGGAGATAGAGAAAATAAAAATAACCGAAGAGAAAGAAAGGGCGAAGGAAGAGCGGGAGAGCGCAGAGATTGGCGCTCGCGCGCACTGCGCCACGACCTTTAATGGGCGCTGATGGGCGCAGCCTCCCTGGAACCTGGAATCCGATTGCTTCCCTCCCCAATCCCAGTCACGGAGAGTCAGTCGTTCTCGCTTGAGACGCGGTTCCCTTTCTCTCTCTCTTTCTCCCTTTCCCTCCTTCTGTTCAAGTATTACTGTCATTAAAAATCGTTTACGTCGCGAAAGAGGGGAGGGGGCCACGACCCCGGTACACTGCCATCGATCTGCGATCCGTCCGCTTCGCGAGAAAGAGACGAAAAGGAGTATAAAAAAGAAGAGATAAAACAAAAAGGAGAGAAAACAACCCGTGCGGCGCGCGTTATAGGGGGTTGCCCTCGTCCGATAATACGTTGCGGGGTCCACCAGCGCGACGAAAGCCATTGACCCCCGAGCCCGTTAATCAACCCTTCTCCCCACCATCTATGAGACTTCACAATCATCGTGCGGAACCTTCGGCACAACGCGCATATCTTGGTGTCCTTTGATGAGAGAGTGCTAGAGGGTAGCCGCTCTGCGTCCCTTTCGCGAGTCACCGAGGATCACGAAGTCAAGAGAGTATCAAGAAGCAGACGATGTCTCGTGCGCGCAATCCGAAAAGAAGCGTGTCATCGTCGCGTGTACGTCTTTGAAGGAAACGTCGCGAAGGAAAAGCTCTTCCCTTGCCCTGACCGGTCGCCGCTGACTTGCGTGTGTTTCTCCACGAATTCGTGATCTCGGACTCGGAAGTGAAATGATTATGTATACAGTCGCCGAGGATCACATGGGCGACAACGAGATCGCGCTGGTTGCATGTTTCTTCGAGAGAGAGAGAGAGAGAGAGAGAGAAAGAGAGACATCTCTCCCCCACGATACCCTGATAGCGTTTAAGTGGCTACTGACAAAGTCGCTTTGTTGTATTCATGCTCGTCTTCTTGCAGGTGATCGCGTTTATATGCGGGATCATAGTGGTGCTGCTGATGATAATGGGCTTGGCGTCGACCGACTGGCTGATGGCTCTGGGATGGAGACAGGGCTTGTTCGCCCACTGCATCGAGGAAGGTGCCCCAACACCACTCCCCTTCAACATGCCCGATCCTCCGGGATGCTACGCAGCCAGGGACAGCGGTACCATTCCTTTCCTTGCTAAGCATCAAACTAGTGTCTGACTTGATTGTGTAATCTGAGGTTTTACCTTACAGCTTACATAAAGGCAGCTGCGGCTTTGTGCGTAGTGTGTCTTCTGACGGACATCGCTGCGACAATTCTCACTGGTTTGGGTTTGCGCACACAAGATCACAGGGACAAACATAAATATTATAGATTTGCAGTATTCTGCATGGGCATTGCACGTGAGTGTTACACGAGCGCTTTGTCTTTTTTTTTTTACTTTTTGTTTGGTATTTTTTATAACTACATCTCACGTCTGTATATGTGTTTCAGTGGTGTCCCTACTAATAGCACTGATCATATATCCCATATGCTTTGCAGCAGAATTGAATCTCGGTAAGCTTTTGCCACATCTCTCGTTTGATTTGATTAAATTAAAAGAAAAGGAAAGATGTAAGGATATACTGTTCTTCGTACTATTATCGAATTTATAAAGTATATTTAGTCTTAAATAATGTTTTAAGATGCTAATATAATTTTGCGATTGTGGCTTATGATGACTTAAGATGTACTTTAAGATTATGTTTATAAATACTGGCCATGGATGTAAGCAGAGAAAAACATATAATTTAAGTCGTGAAAAATTATGTAAATGTGGAAATCGTATCTACACAAGTCTTTTACGATTTACATTATATGTTTTTCTCTGTCTTATCCTATGTCCTATATCACTTTTTAAAATATAATCTTCATTTATTTGTATTGAACATCTTTGAATCAATTTTTACTTAATATAATTTCTATCTTTTTTTTTTTAGGAAACCGAACCAACTGGGAATTCGGTTGGGCGTACGGCGTCGGTTGGGGCGCGGTAATTTTCCTAGTTGGAGGAGCAGTATTGCTGTTGTGCGAGAAGGAAAGTGAAGAGATTTACTATAAGGAAAAGAAAACTGTTCGTGATGACATAGGAAGTGGCGGTTCCATGATTGGCATGGGACATCACGCTGGACGAAGTGGAACGCAGCTAGCCTAGTGGCATTGCTCCCTGCCCGATGTTGTTCTCTAGGTGATTCGTTTTATCTTTTTCTGCTCTCACAGTTCGACACATGCGCATACGAGAAGGTATACAAGCCTATGAATGGATTTTTGGTAGGGCATTTTTGGCTAAACACAAAAAAAATTACCCTACGGATTCTTCGATCAATCTAACTTGGATACACAAAGTATCAGCAGTTTAAATTGAATAATCTTTGTATGTTTTTATATAAATAACATATAAATAAGATAAGAAAACTTTAATTCTTTGTGAAGCTTCAATATAATTGAAGTTTTATTATTAAGATACTTAGTGGGAAGCGAAATGTATAATTTTATAATTTATCTAAATTTTTATACAAAATTTTTGGTTTGTATATACAAATCAAAGTTGGAGAAATTAGGAAGCAGTTTGTATTAGGTAATGCTTTATATTTGTTTAAAAGCTAGTCCGCTTTTTGAAGAGAATGAGTAATTTACGATATTTACAATAATTTAAACGTATCCATTAATATAAAGACCAATTTTTCTTAAGAAACAATCGATTCGAAAAATTGGTCGAAGAATTCGTCAGTCGGTTTTCATTGTTGTTCGGAAATATCTGAAGTAGATGTGATCTTCATTAGATGGGTGTGTATTCAAGTTACTATTAGTTTGATGTAGAATAACATTTTGTTAAAGAAGTACGCATTTCGATCTTCTTGTTTCTTATTTAAACGTCAATTTTTATACTGACAATTTTTTGTTTCTTATTTAAGATCAATCTTTATACTGACAATTTCGGGACCATTATTAGCTTGATTCGGTTTTCGTATTTCCTACATTTTGCATGATCTTGGACAATTTTATATACACACTTGTATAATATTTTTACTGTAATTTAAATTATAACACAATTTATAACGTGGCGACACATTATTAAATAAATTAAATTCGTAAGAATATATATCATACTCATCACCGAGTTTGAGAGATAACAATTCTAACATGAATTTTATGTTCTTTATCCGCGTAAATAATACACATACACAATTTGTATTCGATTTGTTTTTAAAGGAAATTTGAGTAGAACTCCATCTTTCTTTATAATTATTTTATATTTATTAGATAAAATGATTAGAAGGAACCAAATAGAGAAATGATTAAAGTTTATTTTATATTAAAGTTTATTTTATATATTAAATGAATAATATAATATTTCTCTTAGCTTTATCTCTAATATATTTGCAATTGAAAATTTTAAACTTTAGAGGCGCAGATATAAAAGCTTTAATTTTTCTTTAATTTCAAACAAATTTATTTTTAACAGCATTTTGAAGCTGTAACATTATGTATAAAGACATTGCCTAATAGGATAGTGCCCGATCAAATTTTTGATTCGTAAAATATCAGCTTTATATTGGGACTTTCCTCGATATTCCGGACACTATCTAATACACACGCAATACGATGTCGAATTTATTTTAGAATAATGATTTTCTTCGTTATTCCTCTTATAATTCATTTTCTTCTGACAAGCATATCACACGTTATATTTAGTTTCGTTAACCTGATTTTCATCTATACAGGTTATCCTAGAGAAAATATTACTCTATAGAGTATTATTGTTATTCAAGAGATAAATAAAATAATATTTTGAAAATGTTAGTAGATTATTAAAAATAGAAAGAGATTATTAACTTAGCCAAATTTGTTGAAAACGGATTTTGCAAAATGTTTGCTATACATTTTTTCGACAAATATCATTAGAAATATATAATTAAATTTGCTACCAGAATATGATTCTGCAGTGGATTAACTGTAGAAACTGAGTAGAATCTATCGTTTTCTAATCGTTTTCTAATTATTTCTTCTGGCAATTATCGAATTATGTTGGCAGATTTTGCTAACAATATGGATGTCAATTTATCGTAATATTTTTGGAATTAATTGACAAATTGTTAGCATGCTATCAACATTTTACTTAAAATTATCAAGTAAATGATGACTTTTATAAAAAAGGATAAATTATGAATATATAACATGTATGTGTAACATTATGTAATAAAAAATTAGTTTAGCAATTATTTTACTGACCATCTCTTTCATTAACTTTAAGGCTTGTAAACATATATTCTATTTTCTCTCTACATTATGCTAGCAAACATAAATCTGTTTGAAAGCATTCAAGTAATACCGTCCAACATATTTCTGCTGGGATAGCCTGTGCATTTATAATACGAAATTTTTAAATGTTTAAATAATTAAAGAAGAAATATTTACAAATTATTAGTCTATTATCAATATTTTTCCCTTATTTTCTTAAGCAATACAGGGACTGGAAAAAAATGATACACATGTAAATTATGTAAAATTATGTAAATCATAATAATCCAGGATAATAATCCTTCGAGAAAGTTTAAAAAGCTTTCTTTTTTTATTTTGCATATTCTTGCGCGAAAACAATTACAATTCCATGGAGACTTATTGTATAGTTATAATTGTTTTCAAGCAATTTTATGAGAGACTCCAAAATAATATATATGCTTACGTATCTTTTTCCAGTCGTCTTTTTAATTGTATATTATTAACATTTCTTGTCTTTTTATTATAGAAAAATTTTCAGAAAATAAAACTTTCTGTAAATGTATATATTATATAAGAGATACTAATAGTTTATTTTATATTAATTTTTATGCACACACACATACACATCATCTTTATTATTTTCTTCTTTTTCTTCCCTCTTTCTCTTTTTCTTTCACTTTATAATATAATCGACGCGTATATTACTAATATATACATATACATATTTATACTGAAATCTGCCACTTTTATTATGCATGTCATAAATTTTCGATATGCGTAGCGTGAGGGCACACACCATGAGGAAGGAATAATTTACTTAGTATTTACCGATTTGATACGAATCTAAGCTATATGTAAAGCGCTTT